CCCCAGCCAGCTGGGGAATTCTGGGAGTTGAAGTCCTCCAGGCTTAAAGTTGCCAAGGTTGGAGACCCCTGCCTTAAGCTATCAGATTCAGTAAGAAACTGGACAGTAATGCTACTTATTTGATGCCCTTTATGTATTCTTATTCCACAGTAATTATTCGCGGGTTTAATAGAATGGGGGGAGGGGGTTTCTTTATACGTATAAGACCTTTACTCTCCCGGACGGCCATCAACTAATGACCCGGGGTCGGTTTGCTTTTCCAGAGCCACCCCCACTTGTGGCGCAAGAAAGCGCCAAGCGGCCTTTGGCAAGGACCCAGGTCCCTTCTTTAGAAATCGGGAGTCCCGCTGCCAGGGCGGGGAGGCGGCGGGGAGGCGCCCTCGGGGGGGCGGGCCGGAGTCGAGAGGGAGCCTTCAAAACGCGTCTCCGAGGAGCTCCGCGGTCTGCGACTGAGCGAGCAGAAACACACACCCCGCAGAAGCGTCCATCATGCAGAAACTCTTGATCCGTGGTGGGAAAGTGGTGAACGCGGACTTCTCGCAAGTGGCCGACGTGTACATCGAGGATGGGGTCGTGCAGGCGGTGGGGCCGCATCTCCAGCTTTCCTCCGACGGAGTCCAGGTGTTGGACGCCACGGACAAGCTAGTGCTTCCCGGAGGGATCGACCCGCACACACACATGGAATTCGCCTTCATGGGGACGCGGTCAAAAGACGACTTTTATCAAGGAACGAAGGTAACGCATCCGAGGTAACCCTTTTCCTTCCGCCCACCGAGGGTTCCGTGAGGTTCCCTCTAGGAACGGCAGAGCTGCTGGTGCAGATGGGCCTACACTCACTTCCTTTGGCAGGGTCCTGCAAATCAGCACCAACAGTTTTTTCCTACCCGGGTTGGGTAGAGTGAGTGGAGCTCTTCTGCTTTCTGAGATGGAGGTGGCCACACAAGGATCCTCACCCCTATCCAACAACTGATACATTGTGCAGATGGTTAAAAGATAACAGATAATCAGAGTAGGAAGGGACCTTGTAGGTCGTCTAGTCCAACCCCCACCCGCCCCGCCCAAGTGGGAGACCCTACACCATTTCTGACAAATAGTGAAACACCCCAAAGGATTTTCTTAAAGGCGCCGCCCCCTCTTTGAGAAGGCAGGAGTGACTAAGGTAACGCTCTTTTAAAGGAGGTCTTCTTTACAATAACATTGAGAAGAATATTTACAATATTGTTGTAAAGAATATTATATTGTAAAGAAGTCTTCTTTACAACCAAGGATTCCTCACTTCCCTATTGTGAACTAAACAATTACACTGAAGGGTCTACAATTCACTGAGAATCAAACCTGATTCTCAAAGGAGGATCTGCATTGAAGGTATTTCGTATCTCCCTGTTACTTCACTTGGAGGCCACATCTCTCCCTTTGTGAGATTCTACTGGGAAGCTTTGGGTTATGTTCATTACTGAGCACTAGAGAAGATATATATGGAGATTCTTAAGCATCCAGGTCATGGTTGTCCCAAAGGTGCTTTTTAAGGAGAAGCAAAATGTCTTCAAAGAAAAGCAAGATTAAGTCCAGTTACCTCTTCAAAAAGCCCCTTTGGGGCACTGGAGAAAATACTTTCAAAGCAGTTTTGCTGCTTTCTCTTCTGTATTCAATGGTGGGGTTAACCCATCCAAACTTGCCAGGGGAAATGTTTGAAATCTGGGCAGAGTGGAGGAAGAAATTGCTGGAATAAGATCAAGATCACTTGGAGCAGAACCATTTGTTTTGAAGAGAGCCACTGTTGGGTTTCCAGCACGAATGCTCCAGGAGCCGCTCTCCTATTCTTCCCATTCCTTCCTTGGCTATCACCAACCGTGTCTTATTATCCCACATCCCACCCCCACCAGGCATAAATAGACTGTGTTTTATGTGTACCAAGAACAAAACAGCCCCTTTTCATTCTATACATATTCAATACTTCTAAAACGCATTTCTTTCCATGTTCATGCTCCAAACCCAGTTGTTTCGTGCACTGGGCAGCACCTATGGCCACCTAAAGAAGTGTACAATATAGCTGGTGAATATTGCCATCAAATTGCTTTTCTTTCAAAAACTAAATTATGAAATGTAATTTCTATTCTGCATGAGTTCATAGAAACCAGCAAATTGAATTCAAAAGTATAACTCCAATTTAGGGATAATTGCTCACCATGCAGGTAATAATCTAGGGTGGTGAATAATGGAAAAATGTCATAAAATTGAGTTCAAGCCACTCAAAATAAAGTTTTCCAATAGTACTTTCATTCTTTGTTATTCAGACAAAAAGCAAAACAAATGTGCAATTAAGCTTAATTAGCTCCTTCATATTTGTACAAATACTTATCGAATTTCAAAGTTATCTTACTACAATAAGCTATGCCCAACAAGGCTATTCAAATAATTATGCCCAACAAGGCTACTCAAGTTGCTGTAAAATTTGTTGCCCAACTAGGCTACATCTTTACACAATACTCACATACATTCTCCATACAGGTGATCAGGCTGTATTATAGTGGGCTGGGAAGCAGAATCAGGGGATCCCCTGCTCCAAAGAGAATTGTCTTAAACTTGTCTGGGTTCATAAACCAACTTGTTTACCCAGAATCCATGTATATGGTACAACTTGCCCCAAGCACGTCAGGAGCTTTAGATCCTCACTCTTGTCTTGTTCCAGGACTCCATGAAAGATTGAATCCGCTGTATTCCTTATGCCCACTAACAATAAATCACTCGTACACACACCCATCTTTTCTTATCAGTAGTATCAGAAGAAGAGCATAATGCTGAGAAAGATTGTGGGCAATAGAAGGAGACGACAGAGAATGAGGTGGTTGGATGGAGTCACTAAAGCAGTCAGCATGAGCTTAAATGGACTCCGAGGGATGGTAGAGGACAGGAAGGCCTGGAGGAACATTGTCCATGGGGTAGAGGTGGTATTAAGCAGGTTCTGACCAGTTCTGGAGAACCAGTAGCAGACATTTTGAGTAGTTCAGAGAACTGGCAAATACTACCTCTGACTGAGATTTTACAGTATCCTTCCCCTGCCACGCCCACCAAGCCATGTCCACAGAACTGTTAGTAAAAAAATTTGAATCCCACCACTGCCATGGGGTCACGATGGGTCAGACACAACTTCGCAACTAACAGCAGTGTAAACATTACAGCAACATGAGTTTCCTCATGAAAAGGCTAACTATGATTGCATAACAGGAGTTCATAAAAAGTTAATGTTACAGGCCTTCTATATGCAGGCCTTCTATATTCATAACTAATATCATATTTGTGATATGAAATTGATAACATAAAATATATCACAATATCACCAGAGTCAGTCTGTGAAAAGGGCAATGAATGTTCAGTTCTGCAGATACTGTTAGTCTACAGCTGCCATCATTGCTGGCCATTGATTAGGGTTAATGGAAGTGAGAATTTCATAATCAGGAGAGCTGGCTGTACAAGGTGAAGAGGAAAGAGCAGACACAGCTTCTGTTCCACTTATAAAAGATGACAGAGAGAGGTTAATCTACACTGACACCTGGGGACCACAATTGAATTAGGAGTGCAGAGCAGGTCATGTGGAACCCAACTCTGTCCTCTAACACTCAACCTCCAAAAGTGTGCCTCCTAAAATTCTGTTTGATGGTTGGATGATCGCCACCCACAGCATCTAGGATGGTCAGGAGATAAATTAGGAGATAAACCTCACAATTAGGTTTTATCTTTAGTAAAAAGGAACAATCATTTGACATTTTAATTTGGAAAGAAGCAGGTCTGGATCTTCTTGATTGAGACGCCTACACCAAATAAATCATTACCATTTGCCTTCATCACTTCTCCCTAAGAATATATTCAACAACAATGTAGTTTTAATTCAGAGACCAGGAGACTATGAGTCCTTGTCCCACTTAAGGCATGAAAGCCAGGTGAGTGATTCCGAGCCAATTACTTTTCTCAGACCAACCCAGGGGTGGGATTCTACCAGTTCGCACCTATTCTCTAGAACCGGTTGTTAACACTCTAAGCAGTTTGGAGAACCAGTTGTTAGAAGAAATTACTGGCCTAATCCTGTAAAGAAGGCAGGAAGGAAACATTCTGGTGTTGCTTACAGAAACTGCCTCTCCGTTAACCCTTATTACATTCTTGGCAAGACTAGACTTCCTGTCTCTGGAACTTCTCTGAAGTTTTTTTTTTCCTCCTTTGCTGGTACTTTGCTTGTGTGGAGTGACCATTCAAAGTTACAACGACACTGAAAAAATGACTGTTTTTCACACTTATGACTGTTGCAGCATCCCCACAGTCACACCAGGTGAGGAGATGTGTGCCTCAATGTGAGTGATGTTGATTTGGCCATGCCCAGCCAATAACATGACCACCGAGCTGTGTCCACACAGTCCCATGACCACCAAGCCATGCCCACCAACTAAGCCACGCCCACAGAACCAGTTGTTAAAAAATTTGAATCCTACCCCTGATTAGGACTGCAGAAAAAACAATGACTACCAACCTGCCTTCAATCGAGGACCTGTATACTGCACGAGTCAAAAAGAGGGCTGTGAAAATATTTACAGACCCCTCACATCCCGGACATAAACTGTTTCAACTCCTTCCCTCAAAACGACGCTGTAGAGCACTGCACACCAGAACAACTAGACACAAGGGTAGTTTTTTCCCGAACACCATCACTCTGCTAAACAAATCATTCCCTCAACACTGTCCAACAATTTACAAAGTCTGCATTACTATTACTATTAATCTTCTCATCACTCCTTATCACCCATCCCCTCCCACTTGTGACTGTATGACTGTAACTTTGTCACTTGTATCCTTACAATTTATATCGACTGTTTCCTAGTATGATTTGATTGCTTATTGTACTTGTTGACTATTATTAAGTGTTGTACCTGATGATTCTTGACTCTTGATGAATGTATCTTTTCTTTTATGTATATTGAGAGCATTTGCACCAAGACAAATTCCTTATGTGTCCAATCACACTTGGCCAATAAAGAATTCTATTCTATTCTATTCTATTCTATTCTATTCTATTCTATTCTATTCTATTCTATTCTTGAGTCTTCCCTGCCCATATTAATGTTAAGGTTTGCCTGAAATCTACCTTCCTTTCTCTGGTTCTTCAACTTATATATTTCCCTGAGGCCGGCTAAAGGTATTTCACATGAAACCCTCATGAAACCCTGAGGGCCTTTGCTTTCTTCTTCTCGGTCACAACTGCCGTATTTCAAAGTCATCATTTCCACTTCTGTTATTATTCTGCTGAGTTACAGATTTATTCTTCCAGCTCAGCAGTCACTCGAAAAATAGTTCCCACTAATTGTGCGCCTAAGGTGCTTCTGGCTCCCTTCTTTATATGCAGACCATCTAGCCTGGTGAGGCTCTAACATATAAAGGAGGCAGAAAATCCCAGGCAAAGCCTTTGAGGTGGCACCTATATACAACAGTTCATTTAGCGACCATTCAAAGTTACAACAGCACTGAAAAAAGTGTTTGATGGCCGCTTTTTACAGTTATGAACTTTGGCAGCGTCCCCATGGTTAAACTGTCAAAACTTGACAACTGGTACATATTTATGCTGTGTCCCAAAGTCATGTGATCCCTTTTTGTGACCTTCTGACAAGCAAAGTAACAGATAACAGATAATCAGACTTGGAAGCGACCTTGTAGGTCATCTAGTCCAACCCCCTGCCCAAGCGGGAGACCCTATACTATTTCTGACAAATGGAAGTCCAATCTCTTCTTGAAAGTCTCAAGTGATGGCGCTCCCACAACTTCCGAGGGAAAGCTGTTCCATGGGTTGATTGTTCTCACTGTCAGAAAGTTTCTCCTTATTTCCAGGTTAAATCTCTCCTTGTTCAGCTTCCATCCATTATTCCTTGTCTGTGCTTTAGAAAATAGCTTGACCCCTTCCTCCTCTCTGTGGCAGCCCCTCAAATATAGGAACACAGCTATTATGCCTCCCCTGGTCCTTCTCTTCACTAGACTAGCCATGGCCAGTTCCTGTGAACGTTCTTTATATGTTTTAGTCTCCAGTCCCCTTATCATCCTGGCTGAAGTAGCCTTGAACATGTACATATATGAAGAGTTCCTTTAAGCTTGCTTGTTTTCTTGCAGACATTTCATTACCTTAACTAGGTACTGGACCATCACTGATGATGTTACCTACTTTAGATAATGAAATGTCTGCAAGAAAACAAGCATGCTTAGAGAGCACCAAGGATCCTTCATGTCATCCCTGAGCTACAAATATTCTCCTTTATATGTACATGTATATTCATATAAAAGCATTCGTGTGTGGGGGACATTGCTTTGCACCTAGTGTATCTTTAAAATATTTCCTCACTTAACTGAGGAGATGCTTTTGCTTTTGAGAAGTATTTCAAAGTTACACTGGTCCAAAATGCAATGGCTCAGCTTGTGATGGGTATACAGCAGTGGTGGGATTCAATTTTTTTTTACTACCGGTTCTGTGGGCATGGCTTGGTGGGCATGATAACTATGAACCACTTGCCAAGTATCTGAATTTTGATCACATGATCAGGTGCAAAGGTCATAAGTGTGAAAAATGGTCGTAAATCCCCTTTTTAAGTGTCATTGCATCTTTATAGATGCAATGCATTGCATCTTTATTCATTTATCATTAAATGAACTATAAGTCGAGGACAACTTCTACATGCCTTTCAGATTTTTTAAAAGTTTTTTGCTAACTTTTTAAATTGATTGCATGTATGATTTTAACTTTTTTATACTCCAGCATACTGTATAATAGATTTACATGTTTTAATATTAATATTGCGATGTGTATGTAATGATTCTATGGGAATTTCATATTGTGTTTGAAATTCTGATTTTTATCTTTCCATAACTTTTCATAAATTGACATGTACACCGCATAATTTTTGTATTTATATTATAGCCATCAAGTCGCTCTGATTCTACCCTGAATTAAATTATTATAGAGTCATAAAAAGGGAGCCTTTACTACACACACACACACACACACACACACACACACACACAATATACACACACACACACACACATATATATATATATACATATATATATATATATGTATGTATATATGTATGTATGTATGTATGTATATATGTATATATGTATGTATGTATATATGTATGTATGTATATATGTATATTTATGTTACTGTTACAATAATATTATAGCTTTGTGTAATTAATTCTGCTACTTTTCCATTACTTATAGATTGGTTCTGATCTCAGCTTCACAAAATCATGAAACAGACGCCTTTTTATTAGGCTAATGTGAATTCCTGCCATTCACATCCAGCAAAGTCCCGGCAAACAGTCTTTCAAGGGTGAATTACAGCCACAGACATTATCAGGCTTGCAGAGTTGCCAGACTGATAGCTTCCAAGCGCAACACTGTACAAGAAAATACTTAGCAAGGAATTTCTGAGAGTCACAAACAAATCTTCACACTAAGTAAAACGAACTAATTGTCTCCTGCAAACACCATTCCCCTTTTGCTCCTCTTTATTCCCTATGGGATCGGCCATTCACTGTCCACCTGTGCCTTCGAGTCAACCCTTGTTCTTTAATTCCCTTCTCCTGGCAGCTCTGCACATGCGCACATTGTGAACAGGCTCCAGCTGTTCTTCTGCCCCACTGATCTCCGACTCTGAAGGCAGTTAACTGTCAGACGGCCCTGGCCCCATCTCTCCCTCTGATGTAGAGCACTCATCAGAGTCTTCCTCGAACTCCAGGACTGGCTCATATTCCTCCCCAACCTCCACACTGTCCAAATCTGCCACCAACTCTGCTGGCTGCTGGCAGGCCACAACACTTCCTTTCATGTTGGAATGGTTCTAAATTGTTGTAATTCTAATATTAAATATTGTTCAGTGGGAAAATAAATATTTAATAGCAACTTCTCCTTTTCAGGCAGCCCTTGCAGGAGGTACCACTATGATAATGGACTTTGCAGTCCCTCAGAGAGGATGTTCCCTCATTGAAACCTATAACAAGTGGAGAAGAGGGGCTGATCCTAAAGTCTGCTGTGATTATGCGCTGCATGTGGCCGTCACATGGTGCAGTGAGCAGGTATGGTAGGCATATAACATCAGCCGTACATTAATTTCTTGAAGGAAATCCAGCACGCAGCATGGATGGTACCAGTGGCACAGAAACAAAAGGCTTGCCATTTTCCTGGGCACAAATATCAAGAGTCATTGGCCTGACTCAAGAATATGAGAACTGGAACGAAGAAGTGCAACTCTTTATTGCACCCTTCCCCTAAATCAGTGGTGGGATTCAAAAATTTTTACAACCAGTTCTGTGGGTGTGGCTTGGTGGGCGTGGCATGGCTTGGTGGGTATAGCTTGGTGGGCGTGGCCATCTTCTCCCCACCCCACTAACCTGCTTTCCAGCTCCATTCTCCTGTGCAGAACAACCAAAGAATACCCAGACGATCAGCTGGGACTCGGGAGGCTGAGAATAGATGGGGGCGGCCCCAGTCAGAGGTGGGATTCCAAACTACTCAAAATTTCCACTATCGGTTCTCCAGTAATGGTCAGAACCTGCTGAATACCACCTCTGCCCTAAATATTGCCATGGGATGGCAGCTGGGAAGCATGCCTTTTCCAAGACAGCCCCTGCCCTTTGGAACACTCTGCCGGTGAGGTTTGGCAGAACTCTTCCAAGCTTTCTGTTAAAGCTTTGAAGACTTGGCTTTTCCACCCCACGCATCGGGATAAAATTGGATAACTGAACTGAATTAGAAGTCTGACTTGGCACCGGGTTTCTGTTGTTTTTAACGTTTTTAGTTTTATAGTTTCAATATAGTTTTACATGCTGTTTTAACTTTTAATTGGGAGTCACTCAGAGTTGATTAGAAAATAGACAGCTGTGTACATTTTTTAAATGAATCTACTGGGATTGTTCAGCCAGCAGTCCCTGGAAACTCAATAACCTATAAACAAGGACAGGGCTTTGATCACCTGGTCACATCTCCCACTGTGACGTCATCAAAGCCTTTCCTGGATTGTATGGGATATTGCAATCCCAAAACATCTGGAACCTATCCATTTGGAAACAGTTAAATGCATTTCCACAATTGCTGTTTGAAATTAAGGCATGATCTGTCCTAGAAATGTTGATGACAAGTTGGTGTATCATGTCTCTCATGAAAAACTGCATGCAGAATAAGTTTGAAGGGTCCTTGAAGGTCTTCTAGTCCAACCCCTGCTCAAGCAGGAGACCCTATACCATTCTTTTCTTTAAAACCTTCAGTTATGGAGCACCTACTTACTGATTTTCACATGGATAACCCCAGATAAATTTCCAAGAAATGTAAGGGATTTCTACACTCAACTATGAAAATAATTAATCTCACTAAAGGGCAGTGCTTAATCATACAAATGTTTTAGGAAATGTTTCAACAAATATATCTGTTCCTCTTAAATTTGTCTAATCTCCCTTAAAGCCATCTTAGCTTATAGCCTTCAACATACCTTCTGCTGATTAATTCAATGTAAGATACTAATAATTGGTTGATGCAGGAAGAATGACATGTCCCATGTGAGTTTTTTCTTATAATTAAAACTGAATTTCTCAGTAATTACAATTTTAATAACACTTGGAAGCCTTTCTACAATCAGTGGAGCAGTCTTTCTTTTCTCTACCTTATTAAGGAGAGTTACAACAATATTATACTAGATAAATTTTAAATGAAAAATTAATATTACCAAAATGATTGTGGGAGTAACGACGAATGATCATAGCTACATCTGTTGACTTTTTTTTAGAAAAGAAAAAGTTTCAGCCCTATGCAGAGAACAAATTAAGTTTTGTGACAATGCTTTTCTTACTTTTTTTCAGGTCAAAGAGGAAATGAAAATTCTTACCAGGGAAAAGGGTATCAATTCATATAAGGTGTTTATGGCATATAAAGATGCCTATATGGTTGGAGATCCAGAATTATACACAATCTTCAGTCAATGCAAAAAAATTGGTGCAATTGCTCAAGTCCATGCAGAGAATGGGGATTTGGTTGCAGAGGTAATTCCCATGTTTAAGATGATCTCTTCAGTCACTTGCAATTATAATCTACAGTATATATGATATAGGGTGTTGAATTTTGGGGTCCTTAGTGCTCTCTGAGCTTGGTTGTTTTCTTGCCAGACATTTGGTAATGCACATTGGTAAAATGCATTGATGATGTTACCTGGTTTGGTAATGAAATGTCTGCAAGAAAACAACCATGCTCAAGAGCATCTAGGGCACCATAGGAGCATCTGGGGAGGAGTGTTAAAAAGTCAAGATGGTGTCTCCAACTACATGAGTGAAGCTCTACAAGTTGCTTGATAAGGCATTGGCCTTACTTCACAGTCTTGCCCTGCAACTCCCATTGACCCCCGAGGCAGTCAGAAAGAGTACATCCTGATCATTTTAGTCTTGGAGATGGAATGTCCATTCAGGGGTGGGATCCTACTGGCATAACAACTGGCTCAGTGAGTGCGTGCACACTGTTTACAAATCACCGGCTCCTGAAGAGATTCACCTTCTTCTGCCAATGCTGTGTAAAGCAGCTGAAGTGGAAAAAGCTAGAACTGGACCGAACTGGTAGAATCCCACCCCTGTGTCCGTTATGGAAGATCACCCAAGATTTCCACAGCCCTAAAAAGTAGCCTCTTATACATATACAAGTAAGAGATGGAAGGGCAAAGATACCTGACACATTAGATCCACTTCAGTGTTTCCAAGTTCCTTCTTATTCCCTTTGGGGCATTTATGTCTGCTTGAAAAAAACAATCCAGTTTCTATCTGCATTTTGCTTTATTCAGAGTACCTGTACAGATCAATGGTCTTAGTTTACCTTGTGATTTCTCAAGACTTCTTTTACTGCAGAGAACATCTGTTGTTCCAACTTACAGTCAGGATGCCTAAGGATCTCTTTTGCATTCCTCAGGTGTATTTCCAAGCTTGTTTTATGGTTGGAGCCAGGCCTACAATATTCTATTATATAATTTCCATCCTTCTGGATGCTTAAGTGTAGCAATCTAAAAACAACCCAAATTTGACCAAAATACAGGAAAGAAGAGACAAATACACAAACACACCTGCGCACACACACATCTTCCTTAGCCACCCTAAATCCATTATATGGACCTGTCACACACATATGGATGTGCATGTAAATTAAGCACTCAACAGTTATAAATACATACATTATATTTATGCTTTGCAAATGATTTGGAGAAAAAATTTAGGAAACTGAGAAAGGGCATTTCATCTCTGCCAGCTATTAAAGTGATCTCTCTTTTTCCAGTTGTCTATCATAGCCTTAAGAGGAAAGACGCCACTTCTTTAAGGAATCCGCTAGCTAAAGCCATTGAATAATGACTTTCTTCCTTGATTCCTTAAAAAAGAAAGTCATTGGATTTTTACAGTGTGTTCTTATTTCCTTTTATATCAGTAATTAATCTTTCATTCTTTACTTACACCCAGAAAGAACCAAGCCAAACCAAAAGCTAATCACAAAATTTGTTCTCCATAAACAGTCGGTAGGAATGATCTTTATTCTATACTAGGATGCTGAATCTGTCATAGGTGATCTCTCCCAGACTGCATGCTCTCATTGAAGTAAAAGATAATTCTTCCTCAGTGGAAGGCAGAAAATTTTAAATTAATGTTGAGAATGCGGTGGGGAGCATTTTTTTTAGTTTTTTAGTTTACTTTATTGCCATTGCACTTTGTATTATGAAATTAAATGCCATCTTCAGTGTACATTATAACTATTAAAATAAAACACAAACACACGTCCTTCACATTCTATACAACTGAACTGAAAACCCGAGATTGCATTCATATTGCACAGGGGTCTTCAAACTTGACAGCTTTTAGACTTGTGGACTTCAACTGCCAGAATTCCTCCTCCAGTCATGTTAGCTAAGGAATTCTGGGAGTTGAAATCTACAATCTTAAACTTGCCAAGTTTGAAGACCTTTGATATTGTGCTATATAGTAGAATTCAATATAATTACTGCCCTGGGATAAAAGCTGTTTTTCAGCCTATTTGTCCTTGTTTTTATTATTCTATACTTTCTGCCAGATGGTAATAGTTCAAAAAAGGGTTCCCAGGATGAGATGGTTCTTTAAGAATGTTTTGAACATTCTTAAGGCAGCGGGAGCTATAAAGCTCTTCCAAAGAGGGGAGAGGGCAACCAATGATCCTCTGAGCAATGACATTAACCCTCTGGAGTGCTGTCCTATCTGCCACTGTGCAATTGGCAAACCATACACAGGTGCAGTAAGTTACAATACCCTCTATGGTGCAGCGATAGAAGGTCACCAGCAGCTTTTCATTCAGTTGTTGTTTCCCAAAACGTTTCAGGTAATATAATCTCTGCTGGGCCCTTTGACCAGCGCTGCAATATAAGTGCCCCAGGTCAGGTCTTCTTTTATGATAACACCCAGAAACTTAAAATTGGCCACTTGCTCCACTTGGTATCCATTGATAAGCAAGGGCTGGATGCCTTATCTATCTAAAGTTATAGTGTCAAAATAATGAAAGCAGTGTCAAGTTGCAAGTCCTGCCACTTTGAGATGTGTGTGCATGTGTGTTTGTGTGTAACAGCCCATACAAAAAGAGTAGGGTTTGCATCACAATAGCACAACAATGCTTTGGTCCACCTATTCATTTGACACACATTCAATCCCTGCAAACAACATTAGCTGAAGTTCATTCTGCACTTGTTCATATAACATGTAGCTTGTCCCTACATAATTTCTCACATTAGGAGTTGAATATAATGCAATTGGTTTGCTGTATTCTAAGTATCATGGTATAATCAGTTTGGTTATTGGAACAAAACTTCCTGTTCCATGGCAAGCAAAGGAAAGGGACTGTAATTTTTACAGTGCTTTGTTGACCAAATCTCACTTCTTAGTTTTTCTGTTTGGTAATGCTGGCATGTATTCACAATGGTTGGCCTACAGGGTGAAAAGAAGATTCTGGCTTTGGGAATAACTGGTCCAGAGGGACATGAAATGGCTCGACCAGAAGAACTGGAAGCAGAAGCCACATTGAGAGCAATTACCATTGCAAACTCAGTGAACTGCCCTCTCTATATTGTACACGTGATGAGTAAGTCTTCAGCCAAGATAGTGGCAGATGCCCGCAGGCAAGGTAGGTTCTTGCTAAACATGTTTGAATATTCTTATTTGTTTAGTCCTGGGATTCCATATATGGTTCTATAATCATCTCCTTAGGAGGTTGTTTAGCTGATTGTTCTACCAAGTTTTAATTCCTCCATCCTGCCCCCATGCCTTATAGTGTTTTTCATTAAGAGCATATGCACCATATACACCAAGACAAATCCCTTGTTGTGGCCAATAAAGAAATCTATCTATCTATCTATCTAACTATCTATCTATCTATCTATCTACTACCTACCTACCTACCTACCTATCTATCTAAACAAAATGAAGTGGACAAGTTGCAAAGTGAAATCCCACCTATTTACCATTATCTTTATTTAGAAAAATGCCTTCAGCTTCAACATAAGACTTGCAGATATTCTTATGAATTGAAAATTAGGGGTTCTTGTATTTGGATTTTGTTCTATAAATGTACCAGTGGTGTGGGGAATGTAGAAAGTAAACTAGATGAGGATGCATCCTGTAAGGCTAGAAACTCTCATGAAGAACCACCTCACCATTATATTCTCATTTTATCCCTCAGTGGCAGCCATTTTGTCTGAATGTACAGAATATTCTCTCAGGCATGTCTTAGATTTATATTCAGGAGTTCAAGTTTTTGTATTAAAAGCTTGACAAGATTTGAAGTCTGGGTTACATGAAGATATAACTATGAAACATTGCATTTTCTTATGGATGAAACTGCAACGCTCTTGGTGATTAATCCTTCAGCTAAATGGAGTCTGTCTCTGGGTCTAAAGAACATTTCTACTTTCTTCTGCAGTCTAGGCTTCAGTTCTTTTCCCTGTAACTAATCAATATTTAATTAACCTAAATATAAGGCTGAGCTGAGTCCCTGTTCCCCTTATTATTAGGCTGATTTCATTGTCCCAGAGATGTCCACAGGATGTCACTGTTGACAATGCAATGAGTTTATTTTGCAATTGGAATAGCTCTCTTTTGTGGGAAATGAGGTGTTTTCAGAATCAAGTGTAATAAACTGTATAATCAGCTAAAATATGTAGGTCAGAGCAAAATTTCCCAATGCTATCCAGAAGCTTCTAAAGATTAGAGTGTTTGTGCTTCATCGTGTGGACTTCAACTCACAGTATTCCCCAGCCAGTAATTTTACCTATCTCAGAAGGATGAAAGGCAGAAGATAGAAGGATGGAAGGATACTGTGAGTTGAAGTCCACACATCTTAAATGTCCCAATGTTGTAAAACACTGAATGTATATATGTATATGATGACTGGTTGGGGAATATTGAGAGATGAAGTCCACACATCTTAAATTTGCCAAGGTTGAGAAACACTGCAATACAGAACTCATCTGCAAAAATGAATTCTTTTTTTTTTCTACATTCAGTATATATTATCATTTTTACTCACTATAAATCATGCTTCCTCAGATAGTGTCCTTGCAGGGAGATGATCTAACAACTGGAAGAAACCAGAGTCAATAATGTGGTGATCACGTAGACATGTCCATGTCTTAACCATAAAGAAGATTTGTTATTGCCTTTTCCCAGAATGGTTTCCAGATGACTAAGTCTGACAGCACTAGACAACTCTTAACCATGTCTGCTCTTAAATAACTTTTTTGAGCTGGGACCAGACAGGTTTAATGGTATTGTTCATCACCCCTATTCAGCTATATATGAGTTCTAGCCAGGTGGAATATATTTAATGTACATCTCTTAACATTCATCTGATCATACAAATGTACATTTAAATATTCTTGTCGGGAATTATGTCATTACTCTACTTCATTTATTTTGGAGTCAACATTATAGGGCTGTTAATCAATTAAGCCAATGGTTCCCAACCTTCTCCTTAATGTGAATCATTAATCATCATCACATGTTTTTGCAGACACCACACAAACACATTTGGCTGAGAGGAGTCAGACTTGTACATTAAGAGGCAATAAACTGCAGTTATTTCTAAGCATTTATTATGTCTGCTTGCAAACATATTGTATTCAGTGCAGTACATTCACAAATGCAGTTTCTAGGAAAAATTGTACTGAGATTCAGATAACCTGAGGCAGTGGCAGCTCCACTAGATGAATCAGAGCAGGAAATCAACTTCACAGGAAGGCTAAAACTATGTTTATTGGCTATAATAACAGAATCTTGCTAGGCTGATTATATCAATAGCATTTAGACTTATATACTGCTTCATAGTGTTTTAGAGCACTCTCTAAGTGGTTCACAAAGTCAGCATATTGCACCCACACAATCCGGATCCTCATTTTACTGATCTCAGAAGGATGGAAGGCAATCCTGAGCTGGTCAGGATTGAACTCCTTGCAATAGGCTAACACTATACATTATAATCACTGCACCACCACAGCTCCTATATTATGTTATTTTTCTTCCTCCATCTAACACAGGGGTGTCAAACTGGCAGGCCGCAGCTGGATGCGTCACATGCAGGCCACGCCCACCCCAACTCCATGAAGAAAAAAAAGGTCACGAAGCATCGCATGATGGCAATGTGACGCTGCGAGTTTGACACCCGTGATCTAACAGTTCAGTGAATTAAGGAGGCTTCTGCGTTGATTGCTTCTGAATATTATCTCACTGTTCTGGATTTTAAATATGTTTCAGCCCCTTTTGTGCAAGTAATGATTCTGCACATCTCCATCCAGATCACTTTCCTTACTATTTGCACACTGGCACAGTGGTTAAAATGCAGGCTACTTCTGCTGATCACCAGCTGCCAGCAATTTGGCAGTTCAAATCTCACCAGAGTTGAGGTTGACCTCAGCCTTCCATCCTTCCAAGGTCGGTAAAATGAGGAGCCAGGTTGTTGGGGACAATATGCCAACTCTGTAAATAGCTTAGAGAGGGCTGTAAAGCACTGTGAAGTGGTATATAAGTCTAAGTCCTATTGCTATCTATAAGTATGATACATAAGAAGCCCACTGGATGCTGCTGTTATTGCCTACAAATCTCAAATCACTTGCAGCAGCCCTGCCACTTATCACCACTTGGGAATAGCTGAGCTAGGCCATCTAATGGGAAACAATAGGAAGAATCTATGTTTTAGGATAACAGCTGCAGATGGCAAGAATGATAAAACCTTGCATTCAGGTTTTCAAGTTCTGTGAAATCTCACCTGGAACTAATTTTTTTCTTCCTAGCATCTACTTTTTTTAGTCAACAAAGTATTGATCTGTTAGTTGCAACAGGAATTGACCAACTGGCTCCTCTTTCAAGCCTAATGCTGTGGGCTGAGAGAGAATGACTGGCCCAAAGTCACCCAAGTGGCTTTCATGCCAAAAGTGGGAGTAGAACTCAAGGTCTCCCAGTTTCCTGCTTTGTGCCTTAACTTCCAGATCAAACTGGTTCTATTTTTTTTTCCTGAACAACATTTGGATTGCAAAAATAATCACTAAGTGACATCAAAAGGTTAGCTTTTTGTGGTTTTTTTTGCTGCCAACTAATTGTCAATGTAACTTCAGTAGTATGGTAATCTGTGCACCATAATTTGTTGTACATAGATCTAGAGCTCTTTTTGATGTTAATTGTAGTTCAATAAGTAGCTACAATTACAGTTCAAAATATAACAGTCAAATTTTAATGGAGTTGGCTCTTTGGGAAACTATGCTGTCAATTTTGCAAAATCAGTCCTGGATAGATTGTCTTTTCAATTTTCTTAGCCTTCAATAGCTTGAGATTCAAATATCAAGTTTTCAAAGGGCTGTTTTAAATTCTTTTTGTGGTTTTATTTTTTACTTCAATTTGCTTGGTAAGCAGTCCTGGGATAAATAATATGAAACACAGTTTGAAAAGTTTTTGAATAAGTATCAGCTATTGAGTAAACATTCTTAGCTTTTCCCTCTAAACCAGGGGTGGGATTCAATTTTTTAACAACCAATTCTGTGGGTGGGGCTTAGTTGGTGGGCATGGCTTGGTGGTAATGTGACTGGCTGGGTGTGGCCAACTAAACATCACTCACATTGAGGCACACATCTCCTCGTCTGGCTTCTCATGACTGTGGAGATGCTGGAAGTCGTATGTGTGAAAAATGATCATAAGTCACTTTTTTCAGTGCCATTGTAACTTTGAATGGTCACTCCACACAAGCAAAGTACCAGCAAAGAAGGGGGAAAAAACTCCAGAGACGTTCCTGAGACAGAAAGTCTAGTCCTGCCAAGAATGTAATAAGAGTTAACGGAGAGGCAGTTTCTGTAAGCAACACCAGAATATTTCCTTCCTGCCTTCCTTACAGGATTAGGCCAGTAATCTCTTCTGGCAACCAGTTCTCTGAACTGCTTAGAATGTTAACAACCAGTTCTAGCGAATAGGTGTGAACCTGTAGAATCCCACTCCTGCTCTAAACCTATAAAGCAGCAGCATCTTCAGAAAACTTGCCTTTACATCAGTGGTAAGATTCAAAAAATTTTACTACTGGTTCTGTGGGTGTGGCTTGGTGGGCGTGGCAGGGAAAGGATACTGTAAAATCTCCAGTCAGAGGTGGCAGTTGCCAGTTCTTCCAACTACTCAAAATTTCTGCTACCGGTTCTCCAGAACTGGTCAGAACCTGCGGAATACCACTTCTGCTTTACATCCTCAATAGTTATTTTGTTTGTTTGATCTTTCTGTCAAAAGTAGATAGGCAGAGATATCTCAACAATATCGATTTATTGATTTGGCAGCTAATGGATGGCTGTACACGGACATGTAATGTTATCTCTTATTGCATAGTTGCAACCAGTAGCCTTAAAAACACTTAGAAAAGATACAGATTTTTTTTAATTTGTGATTATTAATATAAAGATCATTCAGGAGACAAGGAAAGATGAGAATGATCATGATTAATCAGTGGTAAATTGGAGTAGTTGCTCTAATTAATAGTTGATGCTGCAGTCCAATTACTGATTCTATATTAGTAAATTATTATTATGCTCTAGAGGAAAAGCTACCTTTCCTCAAGACCAGAGGTGTCAAGCTTGCTTTCATTGAGGGCTACATCAGGATTGTGTTTGACCTTGGGGGGCCAGGGTGGGCATGGCCATCACTCACATCGGGGGCACCTGTGGGGGCCCAAGCACTCTGCAAGTGAAAATGGGCTCCCAAGTTCCATTTTCACCTGGGATGGCCTCCTGCAATCCTCTGCCAGCAAAAATGGAGCTCACAAGGGCCGCAGACGGCCTCCCAAGCTCTGTTTTCACCCGCAGAAGCACCACAGGCTGGTCCTTCACTCTTTCCAGGGAGGCCCTCCTGGCCAGATCGAAGCACCCCAAAGGCCAGATCCAGCCTGCGGGCCATGAGTTTGACCCCCCTGCTCTACACCATTGTTTCTCAACCTTGGCAATTTTAAGATGTGTGGAATTAGAGCTTCCTTCAGAGAAGAATGAGAGGGAGCGAGAGAGAGAGAGAGAGAGAGAGATCAATAAGAAGTATTGATGCCAAAGTCTACCATATTTCTTGGCACTTTGCTACTAAATATTTGTCTATCTGGTAATTTTTCTTCATTATTTTGCATAAGAGGACAGACATCAATCCTTCTTTTAAATTATCTGAACCACAATATAATGTTATCTTCCCTAAGCCTTCATCATCAACGTTTTGCCTCTAAGATCATTTTTTTTTCTACATGGGCTGATTCCAACATGAATGTATACATTTTGATTTTATGTCGACCCATACTTGGAAAACCAGTCTGCACCTACAATTATTGAGATGATTTACAATAAATAATAGTTTCTGTAGCAGGGTTCAGTGACAACAGAAAAACTTGGGAGGGAGTTTACATGTGTTCCTCAAACATGCCCACTCCATCATTAGTTTTCCCCACGCCTCAGACATCTGCTCATTCATTAATTGGGATGGTTGCACTTAGGTTACATGCATTGACTATATTATATCTGATCCAATCCATTGATGTGGAATTGCAAGTTAGTATTACTAGCTTTGTTCTTCTTACCATTAATTTGCCTCATTCTTCTCTCCCTAGGCAAAGTTGTGTATGGTGAGCCTATAGCTGCAAGCCTTGGTACAGATGGCACTCACTATTGGCATAAGGACTGGCCTCATGCAGCAGCTCACATCATGAGTCCTCCATTGAGGCCTGATGCTTCCACTCCAGACTTCCTCATGAATCTTCTAGCAAAGTAAGGAGGTTCATCATTCACAAGAGCCCTTTAATAACCCTAAGTGGCTATTAAAGCCAACGGAAACAAAAAATGTAAAATACTGTAATGTGTTTCAATGGATTTTGAAGGGAAAATGTAAAATAATGTGGAGAGAAGTTCTAATAATCCATTTGGGAGAAATAATTATGATTCTTGATGTATATATATTTGTCATTTACAGTATGGTTTTCCCACTCTGCTTGGGAACATCTAAATATTGAATAGAAGACATGCAGCTTATTTTGAGAGGATAATATAAACCTTCTCAGAAAATAGCTGATTTTGGAAGGGAAACTTCACCAATCCCAAAGATAAAAATGAAAGTGTCCTTTGAGTCAGGCTTGACCTTAGAGATACATCTGTGTTGTTTACTTAGCAAAACTATAGAAATGATTTGCCACTGCTATATCTGGAGATATTTTTCAACTTCCCATCTAGCCTCAATTCAGGTATTTGTTTATAGCATTCCAGGCAAATAATAACCAGGTCTAACCCTGCTTAGTTTTTCAACATCAGCCCCTTGGTCAGCTATTGCCCTCTAGATGACCATATTTGTAACAAGTTTCTATTTACTAGGAGCCAGTTTCAATAGGTTGCTTTCTTCATCCGTCTCTCCTCTTCTAGCCCAACTCCAGCATCCTCCTAATTCGTCCAGCTTGTCTTGGTCAATTTCCAAATATTTGGAATGCTTCCAAAGAAAGCATTGGAATGCAGCCACCTACCATTTCTATTTCCTGAAAGGATTATGTGGCTCCAAGGCATTGATACTCTTATACTGCAGCATTCCAGGTTTCCTTTTATCGGTTAATGGAAGGATTCCAAGCCTGCCCCTTAACCCACCGAAATAGTACAGGTGGCCCTTCAACGTACGACCACGACTGAGACCCAAATTTATGTTGCTAAGCGAGACAGTTAAGTGAGTTTTGCCCCATTTGATGACTTTTCTTGCCACAGTTGTGAAGTGAATCACTGCAGTCATTAAGTTAGTAACACTGTCGTAAAGTGAATCTGACCTTGCTTGCCAGAAGGTCACAAAAAATTATCACATAACCCCAGCACACTGCAACCATCATAAATATGAGTCACTTGCCAAATGCCTGAATTTTGATCACCTGATCATAAGGATGCTGCAATGGTCATAATGTGAAAACGGTAATAAGTGTTTTTTCAGTGCCATTGTAATTTTGAACCCTAAATGAACTGTTGTAAGATAAGGACTGCTTGTACTTCCAGAATCTACAGTAGAATGATGAACCTAGTATCACTAGGGAGCAATATGATCTTTGGGAAGCAATGAACAAGGGCTATCAAGATCTTAAGAGCTTCTTGAGGTGGTTGAACAGAACATCTGCCTTGTTCTGGTATGACTTTATTTTCCCAGCTCTTATGACATTGTTCCATCTAATTTAGGGCTCTGGTTGAACACAAGCTATTATCTCCACAAATGTCAGCATTCACCAGGATTTTATTGGTTTTATCTGAAGGCGATGTGATTTTATTATAGGTGATTCATTCTTTTTTTTCTTACCATTTTTCAGCAAATTTCTTTTTTACTTTAATGGTGTTTTTTTTTTAAGATTTAAAGAATGAAGCAAGTAGGAGTTATAATTTTGAAATGAAAGGTTGGTTGCAGCATATAAAATTATCTTGTTCTTTATGCCACTTCAATAGTAGTATTTCTTTTACCTTATTTCTTTAAGTGGTGACTTGACTGTGACGGGGACAGATAACTGTACATTTGATATTTGCCAGAAGGCTATTGGAAAAAATAATTTCACAAAGATCCCATTTGGAGTGAATGGAGTGGAAGACAGGATGTCTGTGGTCTGGGAAAAAGGAGTGGTAAGTGGGATTTCAATTCATTCTCTAATACAATGGTGAAAACAAAGAACAGAGTTCTCATTAAAGCAGCTACATCTTTCCCTACTATTGCCTGCTTGCCATTTCAGCTACAGTGAAGCCCCAGCAAAAGACATACTTAACCTCAGGAGCTGCAGAAAGGTGCTTCATGAGCACCCTCTATGTGCACTAAAATATTTTTCCCTTTAAATCTAAAGCATGCACAATAACTCATGCACTCTCAAAAATGGTTACTCCTTTCTCTAGCTTTCTGATCTGAACTAAAATCTTTCAAAGGTATGGCTTGAATAGATATATTACCATTGATTTCTCTTTCCTGGAAGATAGAAGTCTTGTTACTGTACTTATTTTAGTAATATTTCTGATTTGACTATATAAATTGCTTCTTGATACTGGATAGCACCTGGAAATCATCCAGACTATGACAGGTAAATTTGTAGAATTAGCTGCCTGGAAAGAACGTTAGAACACCAACTTTATTTGAGCCCCATTGTTGGGGGTGGGGAAAAGTGAGTTTTATCTAAATTCATGGATCCTGGGTTAATATAAATGGTTGTCTTAGATGCTTGAGTGTATGTCCTCTTAACATCTAGCTAGATCAAGCTAAGTCACTCTGAATGCCTTTTATAAGAAGACAAGAAGGATAAAATATTCCAAATAACTAGATCATTGTCTACTAAGGCTACTCAAATATAGGTCTGAACAAGGACATGAAAAAGTTTTTTAAAATAGGCATAGGAACTCAGTCTGGATTGAGACCTTTGTGAGTGTTAAAGAGGATTCAGTTATTTGATAATGTCTTTACTCTTGTCCCATCATCAGTAGGAATCTCATCTTTCTATGCACCAAAAGGGAATATCTCATTTGTACTACGGAAAGTAATGCTTCAAATATAGTTAATAATTCTAAGGAACCTAATCAGTTCCATAGCAGAAGAGTAAAAACATTTTTACCAGCTTGGAAATGAGTTCCTCTATGTGTTGTTTACTTTAAGTATGCACAGGATTGCTAAATTTGCAAATAATCTAGTATTTGATTTGCACCTGTTCTACCTTTTAACAAATGGAGACCTCTGAGAGCTTTCTTGGCAGAACACACAAAATTATTGAGGCAATTTATATTAATATCCATCAAATTTAGAACCTTATTTCATTTAGGCAAGCTTTCTGTTCAGGCAGGAATTTTATCCATCGTATACATATTCAATTTTGCTGATTGCGCCACTTCCTTTCTCTATATTTTCTCTGAGACATTTTGGGGTTTTATTTATTTATTGGGCTCCCACTTCAGCATTATTATAGGTGATAAGTTGAATGAATTTTAAGAATGTGTAGTAGTTTCATGTACTGTATTAGCCTGTTTAATTTCCCTGAAACCAAATGCCAGACAATTATTTTAATTTCTCCAGGTTATAAATTTGGAGCTGTTTCCAAACTACGAAGTTCTCTTCAGAAAATTATTACCTTGGTGCTATGTTTTTGATTAGCTGTTGGTTGTTGAAGTTTTATGTCTTGAGCTATTCTGTCTAGGACTAGATGATGCACGCAAGGATGGTGTCAAAAATTTCAAAATGGCAGCCACAAATACACAAATGCACATAAAAATGAGTGGGATCCCAATTGCTTGGTCATGGCCGCCATCTTTACTTTTTTTTTGACACCCCTCCACCCCACTGTTAAAGTCCTGGTGCAGTGCCTTTGTTACATAGGAATTATTTTCCCAAGATTGGAAAGCTTATTATCTATTTATTTATATACAGGTAGTCCTTAACTTACAACAGTTCATTTAGTGACCATTTGAAGTTACAATGGCACTGAAAAAAAGGGACTTACAAGACCTTTCTTCACACTTGGTCCGCATGGTCATGTGGTCAAAATTCAGATGCTTGGCAACCGAATCATATTTATGAAGGTTGCAGTGTCTCAGGGTTATGCGATCAACTATTGCGACCTTCTGACAGGCAAATGGGGAAGCCTGATTCACTTAACAATGGTGTTACTAACTTAACAACAGCAGTGATTCACTTAACAACTGTGGCAAGAAATGCCGTAAAATGAGGCAAAACTCGCTTATCAAATTTTCAGCTAGCAAAAGAATTTTTGGGCTCAATTGTGGTTGTAACTCGAGGACTACCTGCATACCATTTATTTGCCTCCCATTTTGTATCCAACAACAGAATGGGGTTTTCTTGCACTAAGCTTATGAATATTTTGCCTTCTTCATATGTGTTTATTAAGAATCCACCCACACTGTTTTACAGCACAGTGGAAAAATGGATGAAAATAGATTTGTGGCAGTTACTAGCGCAAATGCAGCTAAAATCTTTAACCTATACCCAAAGAAGGGAAGAATAGCTGTGGGCTCTGATGCTGACATCGTCATTTGGGACCCCAAAGCTACAAGGTAAGTCTTGGTCTATCCATTTTTCCATCGTGTCTCTGGGTAAAGGAAGAATAATTTTTAAGACATACGTTCGGGTGAACAGAAGACATTTTATTTGAACTATTTGCAAGATAGTTGGTCCAGGGCACAGTACATCTATGCAGAGGACTATGTCTAGTAAGGACATTTTTATAAAAAGAAATCTGCCTGAACTGCTAATCACATCAGGAAATAGCAATTCACTTATATAAAACTCCCTTTTTATGACCCTGTAATCTCTTAATTTGGGGTAGAGTCAACTGTATGGAGGTGAGTTGTGCTGATATATCCCTGATGGCTAACCTATGGCATGTGTGGCACATAGAACCCCCTCTCTGGGCACATGAGCTGCACATGTGCACCTCCCGCCGGCCAGCTGCTCTTCAAATCTCTGCCACACATATGCAGGGGGTGCGTCATATGTGCAGGGTCACATGTGCATGCGGGGGGCAAACACATGGGGTCACATGTGCATGCACGGGGTCGGGTGCATGCGTGGGGGTCATGCACACATGTGCAGGGTGTAGGGGAAGTCGTGTACATGCATGGGGCATGGGGGTTAGGCATGCATGCTGGGGTGCAGTGAGTGTAACACACACATGGGCAGGGGTGGAGCACATGCGCAGGACATGCATGCATTGCATTTTGAGGATGTGCACACACGCGCCCGCTTTGAGCACTTGGTGCCAAAAAGTATTAGCCATCACTGTGATATAATTAATAAATGAAATAAATATTTATTTATTTGAGGTAAATATTTCATTTATTTATTTTTTATTATTTCAATATTTTAAAATGTTTTTATTATTTTAATTTTATTACATATTTTTAATTGTAAGCCTCTCCGAGACACTGATTGTGATGGGCAGGTATAGACATTGAATAAATTACATTAAGTTAAATAATGGCCGCAGTCTGTTGCATTCCAATTATATTGTTGGGGATTATGATAATTGAAATCCAATATATCTGGAAGACATCAAGTGATGGATGGCAAAACACGTACCAGATGAAACTACAAGTTATTGATGTACCTGTTTTGCATTTTTGAGTAATAATCCAGGCATTCAAAGAAAATGGTGTACGCTTGATTTGTATATAAGATCCTATGTTCAATCTCTGCCAATGCCAGGCAACAGATCCCAAATACCAAACCTAGGGAAAAGTGTTTCTTGAAACCATAGAAGGTATGTAACCTTTTCTCAACCTGATGCAACCTATCTGTATTGCAACTGGAAATTCTGGAATGCCCCAGTCATACCGGTTAGGGGATTTTGAAGCCTTTCTGAATACACTAAGTTGAGAAAAGCTGAGACATAGCTTCAGTTCTGCATTTGAAGAACTCATGACACAAAGGCCATACTAAGACATTGTGGGAATCATTGACTCAATACAACAGGAGAGCACCAGACTGAAGAGGTCTAACATGATGTCTTAGCTATTTATCTGGGGATACTGTAAATAAATCTATAAATCCTGTTTTCAACTTGTAAGTCAAAATAGTTTAATCCTCCCAACTTTTCAACAATACACTGAAGGTTTATTTGTTTTTCAGACTCATTTTATATCTTTTCTGAATCTATAAATTTAACATGCCAGTGCAATCTTCCCTGAGGATATAGCAGATAATTATACTTTCCTCCTTAAATTATAGCATTATTCACTGTTGTGACAACAGCAAGCAGCCTGGATGAATTTCATAGTCATAATGACCCAACCTCCTTCAACTTCGTACCTTCAAGATCAGGCAGTCTAACTCCCATATTTATAGCAAGCATTAAACACTAGGAATGAGGCCTAAGGCATCTGTAGAGCTTCATCTGGGAGAAGAGTAGTTTTCACAAATGAAGGCAAATGTACGTGGTCCAGGATAATGTTGTAGGATCCAATCTGGGTCAGTTATCAGGACTAGCTCAGAAGGCTAAACTTCCAGAGACTGACTCAGATTGGAACCTGCAAGACTTGTTTTTCCTTATTTTCTTTACTTCTTTTGAGGAATGTGATTTTGAGATCATTACCAGATAGCAGGGAATAGATCAGGCTAATTTTATCTGCAGTCAAACATTAATTGTTGATTGGGTTTGGTTATTATTATTACTTAGTTTTAAATCACAGCATTAGAAAGTTCTGGGATTGCAAGATTGACCAAAACATTACTTTGTAACACAATGGCAAAGCATCTTCCTGCTGTTACAATTCAACATAAATTGCTTAGTGGACCCTATCATCATCATACAATATTTTATGAATTTCTTTTATTAACTTTCAGTTCTGAATAACCTACTTTCCAGGCTAGCTTCTTTTTAAACATCAGTGTGTTTTACTTCTGTGACAGCATAAAACAAAAATAACATGCTTAATATGATGAACTTGCCCTTTAACTTTAACTTGCCCTTTAATTTATAATAATAAAAAGTATGGTGATGTTAAAGTATTATTTTGGTTTGATTTTAGTGCTTGCTGGAAATCTATTTTGATGATAAGTGGAAAAATGGATGAAAAATAATAAAAGGATATTATAAAAGGATGTCCATCATAAAAGTCATACCAAATATATGCTTGAATACCAAATGGTCACATTCATAGCAGATAGATAAACTTCAGTGTTATAGATGGAACATAACTGGGTGTATTTTATTTATTTTTAATTTACTGTTATAAATTTATAACTTGGATAGATTAAAATAGTTGTTTGCCATTTATCTACAGTTACCTATAAAAACCCTATATTTTTACATGTGCTACCATCTTGCCTTTTTTATTCATCCGGAAGATGCCCCTGATTTATTACAGGTAGTCCCTTGACTTATGACTGGCCATTTAGCAACTGTTAAAATTTATGACAGACCTAACCAGAGCTACTTGCAGCCTGGTTTCAAAGTTACAACAGCTGACCCCCACACTGTGGTCACATGATCACATTTTGGGCACTTGGCAACCAACCCACATTTATGGCCACTTGCAGCATCCTCATTTATTATTATTTGTTTTTACCCCAAACTGGTGTTTATTTACAGTTTCCCGCAAAAAACACCCATTGGCTAAAATGGGTTTGCTTAGTGAATATCACATTCACCCAATGCCATGGCATTAATTTAATGATCAGAACAAAACAGGATGTAAAATCAGGTGCAATCACATAGTGATGCATGGTAGCATTAAGCCAAGGTGGCACAGTGGTTAAAATGTAGTACTGTATTGCAGACAAACTCTACCCACAGCCTAGAATTTGGTCTGATGGGGCTCGAGGTTGATTTAGCCTTCCATCAATCCAAGATCGGTACAATGAGGAGCCAGATTGGGGGCAATTTGCAAATAATACTTACAATGTAAACTGCCCAGAGAGTGCTGTAAAGTCCTATGGGGCTAAATGCTTTGTAAGTGCTTTGGCTATAATTTATTGACTGTAATTCCAGACTCAGTTACAATCATAAGTCAAGAATCAATTGTACATTTTTGATCCGCCTTTTCTCCAAAGAAATCTAGGCACCATGGACAGCCTTTTCACCCTACCCTTTATTTTCATAATAATTCGGTGGAATGCTTTATAACGGCCTCTCATTTGGAAACTGTCCTAGTCACATTCAGGTTTCCACTTTGCTCTACTTCTGTAAAACCATGCTGCTCTATTGTATGAATAGGCTTGAACCAAAGCAGGTCCTAGATCCTTGTAGATGGTCTGCAGAATAAGGGACAGGGAGGAAGAGAGAATCTGGGTGGAAGGTATCTATTGTGTCAGTCAGCCACAAAAGCTCTGTATTGTGACATTCAAAAGGAAAATGTTGCATAAATATGTATTCTGGGAATGTGGTTTTGCTGGGCAGAGAATGTATACTCTTCCCCAAAGTTGTGGCTATTTAGTCTGCTGCTAAATATCTTACAGAGCGTGAATGAGTTTAAGACAGAATCTCAAGGGTTTCTCTGGAGGATGAGATTAAAGTCTGCAAGATAGAAGGTATAGCATTAAGGTGGCACTTTGGTAAGATGGTTAAGTATGGAAAACTAATGCAACTTCTACTTTTCTGAACTGGGCTATTAGAATCCCTGATCTTCAGTCCAAATAACAGATCTATATTGGCATATGAAAACCATCACTTCAGTGAATTGGGGAGGTGTATTTAACTTCACCTGCTGCCCCCAACAAGCCCTGAATTTTCTGTTTTGTGTCAAGTTCCTTTATTTTGTCTCCAGTTCCAGATTGGAAACCTTAGGATTCTAGTAACCGTTTGTAAAAGTTGATACTACTGTGACCTTCAGCCAGCCTTCGAAGCACCCTCTTTGATCTGGGCAAGTGCGTGGTGCTGAGAGTAAATTAGTTTTGCTCAGGGAAATTGCATTTTAGAACTACTGCATTTTTTTTATTTGTTTTGTTTTGCTTCATTTTATTGAGCTGGCTTGAAACCGCTGTCAGCTTTGATGGATATAAGAGAAGACTGTTCATGTTCTTTTACCTCTTTAGGCCTGAAGGAGTTTATAAGTGGTGTTCCAAGAGATGACTCTGACCCTGAATGCTGATGGTTTGTGAAATTAGGATATCTCCTATAAAAAGTGTTTCTACTTCTGCATTACTGATTAAAGGGGGGAAGGTAGCACCAAAGGAAAAAGAACACAGAGTGGCATAATACTTTCAGAGTTAATTTATAGACAGAGATGTTAATTCAGAAAGAATGTACTATATTGCTATACTTTTAAAAGTACCCTACATCTCACTGCAGCAGGGAAATCTTGGGCAGTAGAATCTACAGATAGTCCTTAATTTATGACTCTAATTGAGCTTGCTAATTATGGTCATAGGTTGTGACAATTGTAAAGCAGGTCATCCTGTGACGGACCCAATCTTATAACCATTTTTTGTGGTGGTTGTTAAGCAAACATGATAGTTGTAAAGCCAATGCTGCACTCGTTAAGCCAAGCTGTGATCATTAAGCGAAATGTTTTCTGCAGAGCATTTTTGCCAGAAACCGGTAGATGCTGGTTTTCAGCAAAAATGGTGTAAATTGCAGTCCTATGACCATGGGACTCTGCAAACAGCCGTAAATGAGGGTTGGTTGCCAAGCACTCAAATTGCAGTCATGTGACTGCAGGAGGGCCTGGAGGTCAGAATTTTGGAACCAGGTTGCAAATACCATTTTTGCGGGTGTGGGGGGTCCACTGTAACTTTGAATGGATATCAAGCGATCAGTTCTAAATTGAGGACTAGTTGTATAGTTCTGGATAGTGGTAGCTTCCCCAAATGCAGCACCTGATTTGAAGGACATTTATTTATTAAGTTTATTTTAAAATTTTATATATGCACCCCAACTCACAACAGTGCAACTCTTGGTGGCAAACAACAAAAGCAAATTTACAATACAATAAAAATCCATAGAAACAACCACAAAAGACACAGTTGGCATACAAGCAGGGGTGGGCTGCTGGGGGCTCGCAGGGGCTCGGGAGAGCCCCTAACTAAGACTGCAGGGCTCAGAGAGCTCCCAATAACCTCAGAAAGACAAGCAGCACGGGAAAGCTCTTAATAGGCTTAATTCAGCCAAGAGCATTTCACACCTCGTAAAAGTGTTGCAAGCTAAATAAACAATCCACTCAGTGCTTGCCAGGGAGAGCCATTGAGAAAATCAGATGACATAGCCACTAGCCTCTGAGGACATTAATTCCCAAATAATAAGAATCAGGTAACTCACCAGAAACTCCACTAAGACTCCAAGATCCCTCTCACAGTCACTGCTATTAAGCCTGATTTCACCCAGTCTTTTAGTTAAGTATTAAATGCATGAAATAATAAACAACATTTTGGTATGTATCTTTTTTTAGGTAATTAGGGCAAAGAAGCAATGTTGAGTTGGCCACACCACCCAGTCACATGACCACCTAGCCACAGCCACCAGCCACAGCGACCAGCCACAGGACCACCCAATCACATGGCCACCTAGCCACGCCCACCCAGCCACGCCTACCCAGCCAGTCATTAGGGTAGAGAGCCCCTTCCTAAAAAATTTGAAGTCCAGCCCTGCGTACAAAGGGACAAGTTTAGCATCCTAGCCATAATGTCTGAGGGAACTACCAAATCTTCAAGGCCTTCCTAAATGGCGGACATCTGCTCTATTTCTAACGTGAGATGAAGCATAACTGGCAATTATGGAAGAATAAGTAGTAAATGTTAGAAATCCAGGCATTTGCATAATCCATGGTTTCTATCTTTGGGCTTTGTCTTTTTGTCTGCAAATATGGGCAGGTTCAAGCAAACCTTTTTTTAAATTCCTGCATGTTTGATATAGTTAAAGAAAAAGAAACCAGGTTTTTCCTGGTTACCAATATCCTTTGTGAAAAGCAAAGATCTTGGAGACAGTATTTATTCCCCACCTTCATTTTGGGGATACTGTATGTCCCCTATCTTCATCTTGGGAAGTTTGCTTTTTTCTACTTCATTTAACAAGCTAATTATGCACTGAGTCATCTGTTGTGTCTCAGTTCACCTAAAACTCCTAACCTGGATTTTCCCTACTTATGTAAGGCTTAATGAAACTGAGAATACCACTTTGTATTATATTGTACTCAACAGGGTTGGGAAGCTGTATTTGTATAGAAAATTTGCATTTGAAGCAGTGAAGATGCAGGTTTATGAGGGACACCACCATTGGAGGATAAATTAGAATAGGTGTCATGAGAAAAAAATGATACACCTGTAGACTGTTACACCTATCTAGGTAAAGGTTCCCCTTGCACATATGTGCTAGTTGTTTTTGGCTTTAGGAGGCAGTGCTCATCTCCATTACAAAGCCAGAGAGCCAGAGCTGTCCGAAGACATCTCTGTGGTCATGGCCAGCATGACTAAACACTGAAGGTGCACCGAATGCTGTTACCTTCCCACCAAAGTGGTCCCTATTTTTCTACTTGCATTTTTACATGCTTTCAAACTGCTAGGTTGGCAGAAGCTGGGACAAGTAACGGGAGCTCACTCTGTTACACGGTGCTAGGAATTCAAACCACCAAACTGCTGACCTTTTGCTGACCTCAGCATCTTAGCCACTGAGCCACCGCGTCCCTTATATACCAATATACCTGTCCGGTATGTTGCAAAGATGCTAACTATGAAGTGGAGATTAAGCATCCATCTGTTCAGGATGTTTTAATCCTGCAATGAGCAAACAGTTGGACCAACGACCTTAATTATTCTTTCCAATGCTATGACTTTATGTCAAAATCTTTCTTTACCTAACTTGAAGAACTTGGGTAAGTTAGAGCACCTGGTATTGTCCTAGATGAGTTCCTTTTTCACTGATTTATTTACAATAGCACTTCAATATTTTAGAACTGTGTACTGGAGGATCATGGATTTATGCCACATTTAATGTTTGTTTATTTTAGCTATGCACTATTATGAACACAAATTGCATTTTATGGCCCCTTTTCTAAGATATCAAGGCAACTTACAAAAATATTTCAATTATTTCTTTCCACCACGAACACAGATAAGCAAACAAGATTTCAAATTTGGAAGTTTTCCAAGTCTGAGATGGTTGTTTCAACCATTTAGGAAGTAATCCTAGTTCAAAATATGTTCAGAATGATCAAACAAGCAGGGCCACATGATGAATGTTTTTCATGCTTCAGTCACAACATAACTTAGGTTGAAACCAATCCATAAGCATGCACTGAGTTGAAGATACCCATGAACTCAGCCAGAAAGCATTTTCAAATGTCTTATGGAATTCTATGAGATAAACTTGAAGTCAAAAATATTTGAAGGGAAAATACAAAGCTGAAAAACGTCAAGTGGTATTTGCAGCAGGAAACAAATCTGTTTGTACTCCTGTATCCTTTGAGTACCTTTTCCTCATTCACTCTTTGTATCACTCTATGTTGAGTAATTTCTTGGTAGTTGTTCAATCAGTCTGTGCCTTCCCTGTATCTTTGAGTTATTCTCCCTATCAGCTTTCTTAACCACATTGATTTAAGGAGCTCCAGGCAAACAGTTCCTTAGCCATTTTTCAGACTCTTTTTGAGTGTGTTGAAGCTTTTACATTTGAATATTTTCAGTGATTAAATGAACTATATTACTATTTCAGAGTTTCTTTCCCTTCAAACTCTGATACTCAAAAAGGACACGAAAGCTTGTTTTACAGAAGCCCCTTTAATGTTCATAGGACATGCTGTATGGTTCCAAAATGGGAAGAGATTTCTCCATCATAGGAAAATATTTCTAATTTATTTTCATTAATATGTCAAATTTAGAGACTGCTTATCTCACTCAGAGATTGACTCTGGGCACTATACAATTAAAATATAAAAATCATATAAATATCAATATTGATTATGTCTGAAAACTGTAATTTACTTAAAACTCTTGTCTGCTTCAGTGGAATTTTCAAAGGAGTGTTGTTGACATTGCTTCTTTATTGTTGCTGTTGTTTTGAGCTTTGAAAAGTTCTCAGGAGGTTTAAATTCTGGATTAAAATAGAAGCCCAAAATAAGAGCTGGTATCCCTTTGTTCTTCTTTCAAACGCAGGACCATTTCAGCAAAGACACATCACCAGGCCAATGATTTTAATATATTTGAAGGAATGGTCTGCCATGGAGTCCCCCTTGTGACAATTTTACGGGGCAAAGTGGCATTTCAAAATGGAACCTTTCATATCAAAGCAGGAGAGGGGAAATACGTTCCCTGTGAACCTTTCCCAGAATATGTTTACAAGCGAATCTGGCAACGGGATCAGGTCTGTATTTATACAGTATATTGCTTCTTTTCTTGATTAAACACATATTTGAGGTTTTGTATGTTTCATGAAATAGGTTAAAGGTTGCAGAATGTTCCCTTCTCTTTCCTTTCACAAAAACGGACAATCAAACCATGGCAAATTTTACTAAGTCTTTTAACTGAACTCATGATTCTTATGGCTTTGAATCAGGGGTGGGCTGCAAATCTTTTTTTTTTTTTTTAATAAAGTTTTATTTGGGTTTTCACACATACCAAATACAAGTAAAACATCTTTTTTGAAAATAGCATGGTCCCGGGTTGAAATTCTTTATACAGACACAAAACTCAATGTCATGCTCCTTTTTGTGTTCTATTCTATTCCATATCTTATACTATTCTACATTTTCTATATCTTATGCTATTCTACATTTTCTGTATAGTTTTTCCCCTCTTTTAATTTTCTCAATTGATTATCTCATCTCAATTCAAATCATTATATTTATACTTTTGTGTGTTCTGTTTCAATTTCATATTATCTTTTCTCATTAAACAAATTTTCTCCTGTAGTTACTAATTGGAGTATGACACCTTTATATCATTTAATTACACCCATTCAACTTTTATTTAAACTTCAATATATACCTTAAGGTTATGACCTTCAATATAATACATAACTTCCAATCGAATTCTGCTTGGTACATTCTTATAATACACACTATATTCTTTTTTTAAAAAGGATTATAAATATATGTAATTATAAACCCTCATTCCATTCCAATTCAGTTCTATCATTAATAATCATTAAAGTCTTTAACATCTTTAACATTTCTTTTCAATTAAATATCATACTTCCTTAAAGACACATATAATATCCATAATTAATTTTTCCCTTATTTCTCTTCACATATGTTTTACAAATTATTAAATATTCATTTTGTTACATTTATTTATTGACAAACATTCCACTGAATTACGATAGCTATTTTTATCAAACATTTTAATCATACATTGTTTCATATTTTCTAAAATTATTTCTGTTTCTTATATAACAATACTATCTTATGTACCTTTGCAGAATCCCTTTTTCCATTAAATTTTCACCCATTATCTCTAAATAGGCCCTGTTTCTCTATATTTCGTTTCTGTCCTTTATAACTTATTTTGCTTCCTTTCTTCCCTCTCTTCTTCTCCCTCCCCTTTTTACCCCCTTGTCTCTCTACTTCTAATTCTCTCTTCTGCATTTCCTTCTTCTGTTGCTTTCTGATTTTATACTTATTTTTCACTCTATTTTTGGGCGGGAGGGTGTTTTTCCCAATCTTAAACTTTCCATTCTCTTTCCCTCCTTTCCTTTTTCCCCCACCTAAGATTACTTGTTCATTAAAGATGGCTTCTTCTTTGTCCCAATCTTCTTGTTCTGCAGGCATTTCTTGTTGTTTCTCATAGTTCCAAATCTCCATTTCTAAGAACTGAAATACGAAGCCAAAAGAACCTCTCCCTTCTTGTGCATCTTCTTTGTACTTTTTAAGTTCCATTTTCAGTTCTTCTAAAAGTGAAGCCATTTTAAACAGTTCTAAACAACCACCCGATTGATTTTAGTCATTCAAATACAATAACCAAAAATCCAGAGATCATCAAGTAATCCAAATAGTCCCAAGCTGTTTCTTCTTATTTCTTTTTTCACTTTCTCTTCCTGGAGTTTTTGTTGCGATGTTTCGGTTAAAATGTATCTTTTGGAAGTCTTGTTGAGATTTTTCTGTAAGTTCTTTTTAATTCCAGGCAGTCCTCCCTTCCAGATCCTGCCCTTTTATTCTTTTTCTCTCCTTTCCTGTTTTCAAAAGCTTTTGATTATCCAGAAATCTTTATTATCCCTTTGACATTTTATGTTCAGCATTAAATGCCTATTAATGTCAAAGTGGATTTTTTCCCCAATTTCTTGCTTAAATTTCTTAGCTGTCAGTATAGGAAAAGGAGAAAAAAAAAACCAAATCTTTCCCCTTTTCTCTCTCCTTTGCAGCTTAAAAATCTTAGGGAACAATTTTATTGTTTTTTTAATAGTTTCAATTCCAGGGTACCTTATTTGTTGCTTTTGCTGTTTGACCCGGTCAACCAAAACTTTCTCTTCTTATCTTCCTCCTGCACATTCTTTTCCGGTCGAGTTCTTCTTTGTGGTGGCCATTTCTGACCACCGCTACAACTGCCTTTGGGAAAGGGAGTAATGGCCAGCTGGGGAGGAGAGATGTGGCTCTTCTCAACCCTGCAGGCAGTCTCCCCCTTTTTCACCACCTCTACGGGGTGGCTTAGCCCTGAAACCGGCCGGCTCGGGGCTCTCCAGCAGCAAGCATGGATTGAAACCTCGCAGAGACGAGGTTTTGGTCTGTTGCTGAAGAAGCTCAAACCAGAAGGAGGGGTGGGCTGAAAATCTTTTAACAATCAGTTCTCTGGCTAGGTAGGTGTGGCCGGTTGGTCATGTGACTGGGTGGGTGGTGTCACTCAACACACCCAGCCCTGCCTTCCAGCCACTCACCTCAAAGGAACAGGTAGGATTCATCTGGTTGGGCTAATCCCATCACTGGCTGGCCCCGTCCGCATCCATTTCTCAGCCTGTTTTGGGCCATTTTCAGGCCATTTTTCAAGCCATTTTCAGGCTGTTTGGGGGCCTTTTTCAAGCTGTTTTCTCCCCCCAAAATGGCTGAAAATAGCCCGAAGATAGGTGGGGTGGGGCCAGCTGGTGATCCAATTTGCCAGTTCTCTGAACCATGCAGAATCGGAACAAGGAGTTCGAGTGTACCAACCCAAACCTGCAGCAGCCACCTCTGCTTTGAATCGTATATCTGAAGGTTCCCTAACCTTGGCAACTTTAAGACTTGTGGACTTCAACTCCCAGAATTCCTGTCTGGGGAATTCTGGGAGTTGAAGTCCACAAGTCTTAAAGTTGCCAAGTTTGAAGGTCCCTGCTATAGAAGATATAGATGAAGTTATACCTAAAGATAAGCTTGATATAAAATGTTTGGAGGTCTTCAAACAAAAGTTGGATCTGTCAGAAATGTTCTAATACACGGGTGTCGAACTCACCATATCACATTGCTGCTACCAGTGGTGGGATTCAAATTTTTTTACTACCAGTTCTGTGGGTGTGGCTTGGTGGGCATGGCAGAGGAAGGATACTGTAAAATCCCCAGTCAGAGGTGTATTTGCCAGTTCTCTGAACTACTCAAAATTTCCACTACCGGTTCTCCAGAACTGGTCAGAACCTGCTGAATACCACCTCTGGCTGTCATGTTGTGTTTTGCAATGGTTTTTCCCTTCACGGAGATGAGGTGAGTGTGGCCTGTGCATGATGCATCCAGCCCGTAGGCCGCCAGTTTGACCCTCCTGTTCTAGTGGATTCTGCACTAATTTGGTATATCTCTGACTGTTCCAATAATTTTTTATTTTCAGTTAAGAGATTTTGTTAGAGTCATTCTATATATACAGCTAATGCTGCCAATTCATGCACACAAGGCATCTGTGACAGTAGCAGCATAATAACAACGGAACCAATTAACTGGAGAAATGTTGGGCTGTTCTTCATTAATTTTTCAAACAAAGGCTAGACTGCCATCTCTTGGGGATAATTTAATTTGGATGTCTGCATAGAGCAGGGAGTTAGATTATAAGTCTAAATGGTTTCTTCAACTTCTATGATTTTATGAAAACAACTTCAGAATTCTGTGTATGATGTCAGCCTTCTTGGAGGAAACTAGAACTTGATTTATCTCAACCTATTGATATGGGGCTAAAAACACCACAGAGCTAGAATTTGAGCTAGAATACTAGTGGTCTGCATGGTCCTGCAAGGGAAATGCTACCTTGATGGCCATGCAGCTATCCCTCAATAGTCCAGACAAGTAAAATTGACAAGAGTTTTGTCAGTTCCCTCCTCCTTTTTTAACATCTAGGCCAGTGGTAGGATTCAAAGTATTCTTACTACTGGTTCTGTGGGCGTGGCTTGGTGGGCATGGCTTAGTGGATGTTGCAGGGGAAGGATACTGTAAATTCTCCATCCCCACCCCACTCCAGGGGAAGGATACTGCAAAATCCCCATTCCTTCCCCACTCCACTAACCTGCTTTCCAGCTCCGTTCTCCTGTGCAGGGCAACAAAAGAAGACCCAGCCAATCAGCTGGGACTCAGGAGGCAGAGAATAGTTGGGGGCGGGGCCAGTCAGAGGTGATATTTGCCAGTTCTCTGAACTATTCAAAATTTCCGCTACTGGTTCTCCAGAACTTGTCAGAATCTGCTGAATAGCACCTCTGATCTAAGCCAGGTTTGCAAAACATCAAGAGTGTTAGGTATTCTATTTCTTTGTTTTTCACTTTGCTGTTAAGATAAGGAAAAAAAGATAAAAAATTAAATATATCATTGCAGGAATGTCAACCTGTTGCTGTGAAGCGAGCACCGTATGTGGGAAAAGTGGATCCATTATTCACTGCATCAAAATAACCTCACTATATAGTTAGTATTCTTCAGGTAACTGTGTCATTTTTTTCATTATTTGCTTCAGCCCAAGCCAGTTTTTTCGGCAGACAAGAACAAATAGGTTCAAATCCTCATGCAATAATTCCTTTATTGGACTGAAATGACATATATTGAATGACATACTGAGACCAGTTTTAGAACTTTGGAAGTGTGAACCATCTCGACTAGAACTAAGTAAGAATATGTAAGCCAGATGAAATGCAGAAAATAACTCAAGACCTTCCAGAAAGGTTACTTCTTATGACTTGGGAGCCCATGACAGAAAAGCCAAAACAAAATATTTTAAAATTAGCATTGTGTCATGGGATTCCAAGGATTTTTTTTCTAAGTTTTGTACCAACATGAAGTACACATTAACTTCCCTCTTCTTCCAAAGGGTTTTGATAATTTCGACAAACTGGAAGATGTTTTGGTATGAGTAAGATTCTTCCCATTTCCCTGTGTGTATTCTCCTGAAATTTCTCACTGCCAAACCATGACACTATGACAGAGGCTTAAATTAATCATTTTTTTTTACAAATGCAATTCAAATACTGCTCTCCACCTTTGAGGTTAAGTACTCAGTTTTTCTAGCCCTCTAAAGACTCTGGTCTAATCTAATTATTATTATTTTTATTTATTTAATTTATATTGCCGCCTATTTGCCCATGGTGACTCAAGGCAGCTTACACAATGTAAAGCCATATTTAAAACGAAAAATAAAAACAATAAAAACTAACAAAAAAAGAATCAAATAAATTAGTAAAGTACAATAGAACAAAATTTGGGAAAACAAAAAAACAAAACAAAATCAAAAAATCAAAAACCAACTCCCACCTCCTTCCTGACAACAGCAGATCACACAAGCCATTTGATGGGCTCCATCCCTCTCTTGGTTCCCCAGGCCCACTGGCAAAACCAGGTCTTCAGTGCTCTTCAGGAAGAGTATTAGAGAGGGGCCATTCTAATCTCTGGAGGAATGATGTTCCAGAGAGACGGAGCTACCACGGAGAAGGCCCTTCTTCTGGGTCCCACCAGGTGTATCTCCCTCAGGGGTTGGACCCGCAACATTCCCTGCCTCCTCGCTCTAATGGGTCAGGTGGATGTGACCAGCAAGAGACGTACCCTCAGACAACCCTGTTCCAAGCCATTAAAGCTGATAACCAGCACCTGGAATTGCACCTGGAAGCAAATTGGCAACCAATGCAGCTCCTGCAGGAGAGGTGACACATGTGCACACCGGAGTCTGCATAAAACCATGCAGGCCGCTGCATTTTGCACCAACTGGAGCTTCCGGATGCTCTTCAAGGGCAACCCCATGTAGAGCGCATTGGAATAATCAAGATGGGAAGTGACCAGGGCATGAGTGACTGTGAGTAGGGACCGCTGATCCAGAAAAGGGCTTAACTGGTGCACAACCCTGTAAACCAGGGGTGTCAAACCCGATTGCATCTCGGGCTGTATCATGACATATCAGGATGTTTTTTGCCTTTGTGGAGCCGCGGTGGGCATGGTCTACATGGGTCATATCCAGCCCAGGGGCCGCCAGTTTGACAGGCCTGCTGTAAATCATCTCAGCAATAGATGTTCTTGATTATTCTTTAAAAAATCTCTCCTAGTTTGGATCTGTTGCCACTTGCCACTCAAGAGATGCCAACAGGAGATATGTTCTTATTATACCTTATGAAAATAACTTTGACCAGCAGCTGACCAAGCCCTTTCCCTTGTGCACTCTGGTCATGAGCCCACTTGGTCCTTAGGGAGTTTGGGCAATGTATGTAACATAGAGCAGATCCTAGATTTTTCTAGCATTATAAGTGGATGGCTCCTGATATGGATCAGGACCAACCTGTGTTGATTTGGAAAGGGTAAACCTTCCCTGCCCATTTGCTGCCACGGGAGTGCCCTTCGTCCTTCCACCCATGGTGTTTGCAACAGGATTTTAGCATCCATGGCAAGAGAGGGGAAGCTTAACCTTTCTCAGTGTAGATGCAGCAGAATATGCAATTTGATCTTTAATGAAAGCTACTTCACAGGATTATATATGAGAATTAAATAGGGCAACCCAATCATTGTGAGCTTCTTTGAAGAAAGAGTTCTTTGAGTTCAGTAATGACTTTGTGGACTTGTCCACGTAATTTTCTTGGCAACCATATGAAAAGTGGCTTGTCAACTGCCTTTTTCTGGGATGCCCCCCACCCTCCGACTTTTTAAAATAGTCTATAACTATGTGATTTCACAATAGTGTCCCATCAAATTACTAAGCTGATTTGAGCCTTTTGAGATTGAGCTAAGGTTGACAGAGAAAAAATGGAACACAAATTACAGGAAATAAAGCTAAACAAGGAAGGGTGTAAATCCTGTGCATAACCTGCAGTAGGATGTTTTAAAAAATTACACTGCACAATCAAAATATTTTGAAAAGGCAGGAGGAAGTCCTGAATTCAACATGTGTTAGGTAGTAAATACAATATACTAGAAGTATTGACCTGTTGATTATTGCACTTTATTCAGGTTTAGGGTTTCTGTGCCTTCAGATAATACAGTTGTCTTGTCGCCCAACACTTTTCTTTTGCTAAAGTACTTCAGCAGCGGACATCCTTTCAGATGTGGCTCCTATTTTTCAGAACTACTGCAAGGGGTTAGGCTAACACAATCATCTAATTTCATCTTGCATTCCTTTAACAGTGTTGCAGAATTTGTTTCAGCCAGAACATGACTGGAATGAACTCCTAGGATTGCAGAGATGGAAAGGCTGTGTTAGTAGAATCAATATTTCCCCCCGTTATCATTAAGGAAGACACAGTTCTGTCCAAGAAGGAAGATCTAAAGCTGCAGGACCTGAGGAAAATCTTATCATCCTTAGAGGGTTTTCTTCTTCTTTTGTGTGCTCTAATTTTGTTATTGCTTCACTAGGTGACAAATTGCAAAGCAGAAGATTGCTTTATTTTTTTGAAGATTTATTCATACCGTTTCCCTTTTTCTCTATAGGTCAGAACTGTTGCAGTTCTTGATTTGTGTTGCCTGAAGATTTCTGGATGATATACCCATGATGAAACTGCACTGGCCATTGGTGTTGTAATCATTGCTATATCTTGCAAAATTACAGCAAGTTCCTCCCTCGGTTCACATACCTTGACTTTCAGAGAAGTCACTGTTGTTTTTCCAGGACACGATAACCTCATTCTCAGGTCTTCTTTTAGTGCCTGATTTATAGCAATTAGAACTATCCAATTAGATGACATGATTGCTAGAATAAAATCTGGACAGGATGAATTATTTGATTTGAGCAACATGCAGCACCTTAGCTGCTGTTTAATAGTCTTTGACATAAATGTTTTCAGCTTTAAGGCATGAATTAATCTTAGCAATGAAAACAGTCATGATTAAACTGGGTATATGACTTGATGCCTGTATTTGAGAGCTAAGTGATGGGCTCATCTGAAGTGCTTTCCTTTCCTCATCTCAAGTGTTTTCCTTTCCATTTTGGAAAACCCCTAGTTAGATCCTCTTACAGCACTCCCTTTAAGGATGTGTCCATCCAACACTTTTGCAGCATTCCAGAAGCAGATTTGGTTCTATTTGTTCACATGGCATTGAGTCATCAATCGGAACCATTCTTGTGTATTTAATAAGATTTTTGCTTTTGCTCTGGTTTACTGAACTTGAAACAAAGCTGGAGTACACCCAGATGATTTTTTTCACAATGCTTTTCAATGAACTGTCTTACCTTGCAATCTCAAGACAAATGTAAATGCTTTTACATTTTTAAGAAAATGCAATGGCTCTGACTTGAGGAATTTTCCACAGCAAACTACATCTCTTTTTTCCTTACCTCAAAGAAATAAAAGGAGGGGGAATTCTGGATTTTTCTATGTGGATTTGTCATTGTTGGTAGAAGAACTGAAGGCACTTGGTGATGATATATCAGAAAAGACAATGCCCAGCCACAAAACACACCAAACCAGCAAAAGTGAAGGAGAAGAGATTAGGAAAATCCATAAGGAAGCAAATTGAAAACAATATTAAAAGAAAATAGGGCAGCATATACACTTAATACATTATAGCTGGTCATCCCAAAGGTGCTTTTTCAGGAGGCAACTGAACTTTCTTGTCCTTGTTTTTTCTTTGAAGACGTTTTGCTTCTCTTCCAAGAAGCTTCTTCAGTTCTGACTGAATGGTGGAGAATAGAAAGATTTATATTCCTTGCAGACAGCTGGTCGTTTGCATTGTTTTAGAGAGTCCTTGAGGCCACTTGGAGGTTTATCTGGGTCATCAGGGCCACCTGATTAGTGAAAATGGGTGTGGAGCCTTCTTGGCTGCAGGATGATTTTTGCCCTGTGTCCCTTCTCTGTTGAGACAGGCACAGGCTGTTGGGAATGAATCTATGTTTTCTGCATCTCAAAGTGAAGTGCAAATGGTTCCTGTAGTCTGCAATTTTTCTGGAAATCCGTTCATACTACCACACCATTTGAAGGGTGTTCATCCCAAAGTGCATAGCTAAAAGTCTATGGAGATTTTCAGGCATCCAGGTCATGGTTGTCCCAAAGGTGATTTTTCAGGAGTCAGAGCTGAAGAAACTTCTTGGATGAAAAGCAAAATATTTTCAAGGAAAAAACAAGAAAGTCCAGTTGCCTCCTTAAAAATCACCTTTGAGACAACCTTGATTTGGATGACAGAATTTCCATAGAATTATAGCTGGTCACACATTCAGCCAGATGTTTAGACTGGATTTGCATTTTTATCCACCTATCGACTCCTTCCCAAGGAGATGGGATAGGCAGATGTTATTGCTTGACGATATTAAAGGTATTGTTTCAAGATATAAATTGCTCCAACTAAAGTTGCTTTTTTGCAATTGGCCAGTGATTTTGTCAATGCTGATGTCTTGACATTGCACTCAAGGCACCTAATACTATTGATACTTTCTTTTGTCAAAGTCTTTCCAACTACTATTTGCAGGTCATTGTATTTCCTGATTTTCTGCAGTTTTTTCTCTTTTCCTCTTCTGTTTAATAATAATAATATATCTGAAAAGGAAGTGATGTTTTGATGGGGTGTCAAAAATAGTCTGCTCAACTGATTGACCTTAAGCTCAATGGCACAATTCTGCAATGAAACGTGAACCAGTATAAGGGAAATAAAGCGAATGTTTTTGATTCATTATTACTGATAGAACCTTGCATTTTTAAAATATTTCTTTAATGTTTCCAAACTTAATATTAAGGCAATCAGTGTTTTGCAAAACATACACAAACATTGGACATTCCAGGAGCTCTTCATCAGACAAAATGTTGAGCTTGCGAACTTTTGGCTAATTCTATAAAACAGGACTTTCTTTTCGCACATTGGATTCTTTCTTCCTGGCACTTCCCAGTGCCTGGAGGATGGGAAACCAAAAATGTAACTGTAAAGGAAGAAGGACAAAGGACAAGAAGGAGAAGGAAAAAGGAGGTTAGTTTTACTTTATTACAAAAGAAGAAGTTTTTATTTGGTATCTGTCTCCTAAGCAGAACTGAAAAGTAATGAAGAAAAAAACAATAACGGAAAAATTATGAGTAGACCCATTTCAGGGAGAATGAATGCTAAGCATTTTTTCTCCTTTATCCTTCAAGTATTGATGGAGGAAGCGGGAAGATTAACCTCAGACACATATACATTTCAATAATGGCTATAGGTATTTGTGCAGAGACAATATCTATGTGAGTCAAAACATTACTTTTGTAATAGAGGTATAACCAGCACACAGTGGGACTATGACCTAAGTAGCTTCCATATTTATTGAAAAATATGTGAAGATTCCCTTTAGGGCAATCTTGGGGAAAAAGAGTAGTATTGATCTCGGCTCTATAGATAAAGTTTTGATGGTGCTTATTTTTGGTGGATTCTACAATTACATTCTGAACAGTGTTGCACTAACCAGCACTGCATTTCATGTTATTTACAGTTTACCTTTGCAAATGAAGGAAGTTTCCTTTTCACATTTTTCTTGGAGAACTTGGATCTTCTGTTTAATAATTTTGTGTGCAGATACTTTATCCGTTTCATGTCTGTGCTCGGAAAGAATGCAGTTGCCGCTAATATTTTAAGTTGTGTGAGTGTAGACGTCAGAAGCCCCAACACTATTAGAAAGAACAAAATAACTCCAAGCTGGATCCATGTAGCAGAGAGGGAAATCTTTGGTTTGGGAATGCAGCTTTCTTCAAAAAGAGGCATCTTAAAGGAAGTGGTCTTGCTAACAACTGCCCCATTGTTAAAGATGAATTTAGCTGCATTTTTCTGTACAAGAGGAAATGAAAGATAAAAATTATATCAATATCTATGCTGATCATTAAAATGGCCACTATAAAATAATTCTGAATGAATTACAATGCCCAATAAAGGAGAATATTTGTAGCCCAGGGCTGAAATGTGGAGTCCTTAGTGCTTTCTGAGCTTGCTTGTTTTCTTGCAGATGTTTCATTACTTAAACTAGGTAACATCCAGGGATGGGATTCTACAGGTTCACACCTATTTTCTAGAACCGGTTGTTAACATTCTAAGCAGTTCAGAGAACCAGTTGTTAGAAGAAATTACTGGCCTAATCCTGTAAGGAAGGCAGGAAGGAAACATTCTGGTGTTGCTTACAGAAAATGCCTCTCCGTTAAACCTTATTACACTCTTGGCAGGACTAGACTTCCTGCCTCAGGAATGTCTCTGGAGTTTTTTTCCCCTCCTTTGCTGGTACTTTCCCCTGCTTTGCTGGTACTTTGCTTGTGTGGAGTGACCATTCAAAATTACAATGGCACTGAAAAAAGTGACTTATGACCATTTTTCACACTTACGACTGTTGCAGCATCTCCACAGTCATGAGAGGCCAGGCGAGGAGATGCGTGCCTTGATGTGAGTGATGTTGAGTTGGCCACACCCAGCTAATAACATGACCACCAAGCCATGCCCACCAACTAAGCCACGCCTACAGAACCAGTTGTTAAAAAATTTGAATCCCACCCCTGGTAACATCATCAGTGCTAGTGATGTTACTAACACTAGCACTTATGATGTTGCCTAGTTTGGGTAATGAAACATCTGCAAGAAAACAAGCAAGCTCAGAGAGCACCAAGGACCCTCTCAAATTACAATGCAATAATGAAATTTCTCAATAAGACGTCTGCATTTATTTTCCTGCAACAGGATATTAACAATCTCTTTACTGTCTGGCCTAGACCTTAAGCCATTAATATATCTTTCACAATTGGCAGTAGATGCAAGATTTGGCAATGCTAAAAGCATCATCATCATCTGAATTATGGCCTTGAATAAGAACAGAATCATGATGGATGGGATTAAAGATCCCACTTTCTTGCCCCCTTGATTCAGCAATGATCACCTATGTCCTTTTGGAGACAACAGGCAAGAATGTGTGAAACAAATGGTTTCAGGAAAGAACAGATTATCAGAGGGCTAAAATAGCATTGCATAAAGAAATTGAGAGTGGCTGGTGGGGGAATTCTGGGAGCTGAAGTCCACACATCTTAAATTTCCCAAACTTTAGAAGCACTCATCTAGATTGTCTATTGGTGATGTTGCTTTGGCACAGTCCTATACTGAATTAGGAGAGAAGAGACCTAAATTGCTTATTCTCTCACGCAGTTCCCCTCAGTAAATATTTGCTGTCATACTAATTCTGAAGTGAGATGCTCTGTTAGAAGCAGGATCGCCATACATTTGTAAAAGGCTTCTCCATGACCGTCTGAAGTAAGATAGTTGGATAAGCATTTTGGAAGGAGGTTTCCACATGGAATCTCCCTTTTGCTATCTGGAGCCAATAGCAGAAGTCAGCTGATTTCCATTTTTTTTTCCCCAGAATTAAAACTGAATGGGCATTTTCCACGTTTCCTTGCAGAAGTCTATCTATTTGTGCAATGACACACTTGGGCCAATGACCTAATAGAGCTTGGAATATGCCTTGCTCCTGTCAGTCACCTCAACAATATATTAAGATAATAAGAACCCGCACTACATATCGGATATTAATACAGTCGAGAAAGTCCAGAAATATTTCACAAGAAGAGTTCTCCAGTCCTCTACTCATAGCAGAATACCTCAAGCCACCAGACTTGAAATTTTAGATCTAGACAACCTAAAATAACACCGCCTTCAGTCCCACCTAAGCATAGTACATAAAATTGTCTATTGCAATGTCCTACCCGTTGATGAATACTTCAGCTTCAACCACAACATTGCAAGAGCACACAATAGATACAAACTCAAGGTAAACCACACCAAACTTGATTGCAGGAAATACTACTTCAGCAACAGAGTGGTCAATGTCTGGAATACTCTGATTCTGTGGTTTCTTCCCCAAACCCCAAAAACTTTAATCTTAGACTGTCTACTATTATCTCACCCCTTTCCTAAGAGGTCTGTAGGAGGCATTCATAAGCACACCAACATGCCTACGGTCCCTGTACTAATGTTTCTTTTTATTTGTATCCATTTGTTTCTTTTTTTAAAATATGACTACTGGTCAATATACCAGGCAGGGTGTTCTACCAACTTAGGCAACAGTGTTGACACATTTCTGGTAGGTGAGAACACTCCAAATTCAGTCACATACCAATGTAGTTCTGACATGCCACATAGATGTCAGGCTCCAGAACCCAAGGAAGATATGCTGAGGTTTTTCTGAACAGTTTCCTTTATTGTTTCTTACCTATAGACAGAAATCTTACCAAACTAAAAAAAAACTGCTTGCATCATTAAGTATATACTCTGAGAACTCCTAGGAAGGAGCCTTTTTAACTCTCTTCCTCCCAACTGAACAATCTAAACATCACTGTCTTTTATTCCTTGGCACTCCATACCCATGTGGGAATCCAGA